AGGTACGAGGGAATATATCTTATTATGGTGGTCATAATAATTATACGATTAAACTATATTAGTTTGTATTGTACTTGGATATCCAGTGACGTCATCAGTGTACATTACCATTAGCAGATACCAATGCGTTGTCACAGTTGTAGTATGATTGTGTCCATCGCACACTAAGCCAGATACATTTGAATAGATCAGACAAATGCCATCGACCAAATCTAATGTATTCAACGCCGTCGCCGGATTAATCTGTGAAACAGATTTGCGTATACCTTTTCTCGTGGACAGATTTAGTGAGATTCAAACATATAATTGACATTCATATAGCGCGGTGAATCAATTCATTCTTATAAATTTATGTTTGAAATACAACGTATTTCGCGTAAATAAACAATGTATTTTACACGCGATGCGTAGGTCGCCGGGAATCCACATTGAACACGACACGGCGCGCGCGACCAGGTAAAGCATTAGATAGCAGGAAACAGACTGTATATCATCAATGATTTTTGAAAAATAACTCGTACATTTCAACGATGATCATTGGACAGCAAATCTTTCTAATGTACTTATTTTGTCAATCCACTTTAATTGAGAGATATATTTCACCATGCGTTTTTTCACCTACTGACCCCTTTCACTACTGGCCCCTTTTTGAAAGTTTTATTTATATTCTTTCGATGGAAAATGACAAATAAAGGCTGTGTGTATACATTTGATGTAAGCTAATGAGAGTTGGTATTAGTAGTTGTAGTCAAAATATCTAGACGCTCCAGATAATGGCACTGTATTAGCAGTGGGAGAATATGAGTGTTTCCAATAAAATCAAAAGGTTAATTTTAACATTATTTCATATTCTACATATCGGTTGAAGCATTTTTTTATTAGTATAAGTATAAGTAACGGGTGGGGTTGATAAAATGAAGCCAAAGTGACAAAGTGCTTCCATAACGCAGAAATTGAGATGACGGCGCATGGGTTCGATTCAGTAGATTTAAACGTTGTTTTGTTTGATTCAGTTCGCGTCTTTCAGCCACGGATACACGGTAGAACACTTATACTCCAGGCTTTTGTTTAATGTTGTTCGCTTGATTGAATAATCACTGTCTTTTATTATCACAAAACTCATGCATAGAGACTGTTTAATCATCGTTATTTTTCTGTATCCTTCAATCTATCGTCTCACTTTCCGATCCGAATGTTTCTACGGCCCATAATGGATTTCTTGTCACTGCAATGACTAAATCGGCTGTTATGTGTAAATGTGTTCCCTGAATGGACATCGGAATTGATTAACGAGGCAGTGTATGCATTGGATGGCCTTGATGAGTTTCAAAATTTTTTTTGATACTGTGAATTTAATATGAGGTTATTACGAGAATACCTCAAAGTATGCACGAAGACAGTACAGCGGAAGTATCGACCGACGCGCACTGTCTGAGTGCATATTTTGAGTATCTTTCTAATAACCATATTATTATACATCTTTCCCTTCCAAGGATACGTCATGGGAATGCCGAAATCCCAAAACAGAATCAGCGAACTTTTTTGTGGAGTCCGGTCAAACCCTGGTGGCAGCCATGTTTGTTTTTATTATCAGAGGACACTTACGCGCGTAATCATTCTATATTTGGAATTCGCATTTTCTTATATGGTAGGATGAAAATATCCCGTAAAATACCGCAAAATTACGGCACGCTGTAACTTATGGCGTTACGGTGACAGATGTATAATAATCGGTTATAATCTTTGCTTTATTGGCACCGTATTGTGACCAATTAAAACCGTTAAAGGGAGAAACCGGAAATAGGGAGATAGGAGACATTTCCTCACTGTGGGAATCTTTCTTTCTTAATTTCTGCAGCCTTCTGAATATGTCTAATTAGTGTCTATCTTTTTGTTTTCAGCATGTTAATAAACTTGTCTTTGTTTTTTTAATTGTTAAATTCAGCAATTTGTGAAAAGTTTGCGTTTTGTGATAAAATGCATCTTATTCTCTAAAATTTCAGATTCTGGGGAAGTTCTGTGTTCTACCTTCTAGTCACTGTTTGTTGTTATTCATTAATCACTGGAATTTAATACATCGTAAATGTTGTATATGACGCCACACTGTTGACACAGTGTCGTAGAGAGTGTATGTACTATTCTTTGAAAGCACGTCGGTGTTGGTGTAGACATTGGGTGGGTTACAATTCATAATATTTTTACTAAATGTCATTCAATGTGAGCTGTAACACCGAGGTTTGTGGGGATTTATAAATTGTATTCGGACCGTGAGGTCATTAGTACATACACTGTCACTCTTGAAAAGTACAATTTGAAATTTCGTAGATGTTACTTCTTGAAATTAATAACTCAGTCGATACTGGAGACATACCTTTTTTAAAAAGTTGACTGATTCGGCTACATTTTCAAGTAATTTGTCAAAAGTGATGAATAGGTGTTTGTTAAGTAGTGACCCTGTCTGTAATAATGTGGATCGATTAAGGTGTTTAGTCAATTATATCTCGGGTTTAATCAATCACACTCCATAGGGCCATCCAATTAAGATATGTTCCATGTATTTGTTTTGAAGGCTTCTGATTTATTCTTTGTGTGTAATACAATGCAGTGTCTCGTTTGCTGTGCACTTTGTACACAAATATGGAAAATCTATTCACCGTGTTAAAAAATGCATTGACAAGTACTCGAGAAAGCGCCTCTATTAGACATTGATTTCTCTAAAAGTAAACATTGTCAACACTCCGCCACGACCAACATGTGAAAAAGGGGCAGATTTATATTTAACTCAGAATGAATATCTCATGAGTGACACCTCAATATAACATTTATTAGTAATATTCATAAAAAAGACGAATATTGCTACATGAGTTTAATAAATGTGATATTTTAGTGTCAAAAATATGATATCCAGTTTTTTTTTTATCTCATGTACCATTTCGCAGCTTCTAAAGGCTAAAAACTAAAGCTGTGCACGCAATTTGTCACTGTGAGCGCTTATTCAAGACAGCAGAGCGCTCTGGCTCAATTGCATAACAGATCACAGTTTACGAACACCGGTTACACGTAGTTTACGACATTGGTATTAGAAATATTTATTTTTGGAACCATCACATATTTACAATTCCGGGGATGTATTGAAACTATAACTGTTAATTATGGAGAATTTTATATGACATCGATGATGACATCCACAAATATATGTAAATTTATATCACGGGCGTTTTCGCATTATTCGAATATTAATGCAGGAAATATTGTGTAAAACCACCAACATTATAAGATTTTGGCATATTTTTTTTTATACTAACCAATGACGTCAAAAGTTCAATCTACTGCGTTGACCAATCAGATTGCCGGGATTTTTCTTGCACATTATTGAGATATAGAAGATTATTACATTGCTTTATTAAACTGAACTGCCATGTTATATTGGATATATTATATTATTATATGCGAGTAATTTTCAAGTGTTAGAACACCAATGATTGGCATTGTCCAGTGTGAATACAATTCCGTGACCAAACCAAACACGGAATTCGAATCAACCCATTCTGTCAGATTTATTTTTGGTTTGCTGATTCTATAACTTCCAAATACCATTGGAATAACTGTTTGATGTACATGGGTAAACGGACAACGACTGTAGTCTCCCCGTGTCAGCGATGATGGATTCGAGGTTAGACTAGACGCGTTAGCAATTGGGTTGATTGTTGCAACAAAGCAGTTCGCATCTCATTAAAACCCTTGTGTGTTGCGTATAAGCGTCGAGTAGATCGATTGCCGGGTTGAGCATGAGATTCATATTTCTGAAGATGTTTGTAATATTTCAAATAAAAAAAATAACATTTTATAGCGTTGCAATGTAAAAAATTGGGCGATCTTGCCATTATTACTCACCACAAGGATATCAGTAACACGCTGCGATGTAATAACGAAGACGACGTGATCCGTGATAACATATAGAGGTATGACGTAAAAACAGAGATAACAACGTTGAGGAATTCGTATTTTTTCTTTTAAAATACCAACATTGAATAAAATTGAAGGAGTAATAAAACAGTGACAGAATACAGATTACAAAATCAAACATATTTGTTTTGAAAATAAAAGTTCGTATTTTGTAAATAGATCTAGCTCATTTACAGCAATATGCATGTATGTTGGATATCAGGGGTCAGAGGTCAGGACACAACATAGCGAGTTGTCTTTTTTGATGAGATACTTTTCCTTGAGCAAGGCAGATATTCTTAAAATATTCAGGTTATTGCTACCCGAATGTCAAATCTTGTGGAAAATAACGATCATGTGGCTAAGGGGGAAATGAATGACTTAATATTGCGTATTCATATGACAAGCACAATTATAGCGCTTCAGTCACCACGTTCCCATCATGCGGCAAGCGACGCATAGAACGCGCTATTTGACGAACACGGTATGTGTTTCTGTAACGAACTCCTCGCTATCAAAATCAACCAGATTATTTTTAATCCGCGCCGTGTTTTCAATTTCCGTTTGAATATGCTTGCCAGCCGCATCTAAATGGCAACTGTGCATCGCCACTGTACAGGATGTTCAGTTTATTAACGTTAAGCACATAGCTCACATGAGCTATAGGAAATATGTAAATTAAATAACGTATGGGAACTACTAAGCATGAACTTGTCGGCGTCTTCGATGATTTAAACTGTGAGGTACAAATAATTCATTAGTGGTTTCGAAACTAGTTATTTAGTATGTTTCGAACGCACCACTCCCTGCTCACGTAAGCAATGCATCATTAATATCGCAATTACAATGGTCAATCTGTTTAAATAAGTAATTTCCTGTAAAGAAGAAAAACAGGTTGGCAATGCGTAAATCGCGAATTACGTGAATACAAATATGGTACCCCAGGGAAAATATTGTCGTCTGCAAGTATCCGTGTGAAACTTCAGGATTGGGTTATGGATGTTTTATCAGTTACATAATATTTCAATAATCGGAATATGTTTTTTATATTTCAGGCGTGGCTGCGAATGAACATCAGTACAATCTGCTAGAAACTCTGTTCAAGACATACAGGAAAGAAATTCGACCAGTTAAAAATCTTACTACAGTTACACACGTGGAGTTTAAATTCTTTGTTAACCTCGTTCTCGATATGGTGAGTACCTAACTAGAACCCTGTTTAGGGGTGTGGATTTAAATCCGTCCTACAAGTTGCATTAATCCAAATATATTTTTTTTCTAGTGGCCCTGTAAACCATGTCACGTCAGTGACATCGTATGAGGTTAGGGATTCTCGGCTAGACCGTGCCCCGTGACCTTTTACTAATTTTTCCCATGTGTTGGTTTGCGTTCACCAACAACTAACATAATAATACGAAGCATCTATCACATGGAATTGTATTTGGACATTAAATATCTGAAAATCATTGCGTCGGACTGAAGTAGCCATGCTTTAAGGAGATGTTCAGCCGATCACGAAACACTGGACGTATGGAAAATAAATATCCAAGGTGGCATTTTATGAGCTGACACTTAGAATCGATATAATCCATGACCAAAAGTAACTGGACAAGTTAGGAGACAAAATATAAAGCCGTTGTTACTGTGAATGTGTACGCTATTCTTCAAATACAAAAGAAATCCTTGAAGGGGACTACTTATACAGGCTAGTTCACTCGAGTGGAAAATTCCAAATTTGAAATTCGCCGCAACATAACGTTTATGGAACGTCTATACAATGCCACTCGAAGACTTCATAATACCTGTAATGAGAACATGATTTCATCATCTCTAAGTTTCTGAGATGATTTCAGCTGCTCCTTTTATACATCGAGACTTCCACACTTCTTAATAACTGAGCCCCACGCTTGGACGCTATTAAAAAAAAAACTACTTTTAGCGGAGAGAAAAGCACTCAGCGCATTATATCTTCAGAGTTTCATTGATTTTGTTTTGCCGAATGATTGCATTTTCAATTACGGGAACTGAATCCGATAATCCATTTGGTTGTACTGAAATATACTGATTTGCATATCGGAAGTATACTTGAGTAATTCTACATGCTTGTTGTGAAGTTCTTCTCTAGTGATGTAACTATTCAAATTACCGAGAAATTATTAAATTTCATTACTAAAAGAATGACGACATTTTACCTAAAGAATGATGACATTTTACCAAAGAAATGATTAAATTTTGCCCACGTTTTCATAGACTAGCAGCATACGTTTGAATCACGCGGTGACCTCGGATGACTGTTAGGAGGTAACCCGAAATAATTGCGGGGTCGCTTCGGTTGGGAAAACCGCGTTACGATGTATTTCCGTGAATTACCGTGCCGTAAATATGTAAGCCGCCGATAAATAAATGCGTATATTCCGTTTATTGCGCATATATATATATATATATATATATATATATATATGTATATATATATATATATATATATATATATATATATATATATTTGGCCACAATGTAATTACTTACTTACTTAATTAAGACATACTATTACAGCAAAATCTAGTAATTAAACGTCCAACGTAATTGTGATACGATATTTCTCGACAAATCGTTGCAGAAACAATCTCTCGTTATCACTTTGCTGTAAACTTGACACACAATTAGCAAAATATTATCTTGGTATTGACGCTATACTTTCTCCAAAGCAAACTGACAATTTGAACAGTGTGGGCGAGTGTGTCCTGATTACTTCACATATGTATAATCGTGGCTTACTGAACATTTTCATTTATTCAACGGTTGTCGGACGAAACTAATTTTATCCTATTTTTTGTGGCAAGTCTGATGGTCGAGAGTAACTCGTATCGTAATGCCGTCAGAAATGCGTTGGTAAGTACTGCCACATGCCACGTATTCCGAGTAATTATCAGTACCTTAGGGGGGATTCACGAATCTTAAGGCTGTGTACTTCATTTCACCACGTCACAGATTAGTTGCGCTGACAAACCACTATATATACAAATCGGAGCAATGATGACGTGGGTTGTCACGTGATAACACAAGAGATCCATATCGATTAAGTGCCATTTGGGAAAAAAGAAACGAAAACAGACAAATATACAAAATATCAACACATCGAGTGACGGCTCCTATACATTCATGCAAGATCTTTTTTTAAAAACAGGTGTCCAAACGAAGTTGAAAGCCGTATACATTTCAACGAAATCTGATCCGTCCATTAAACTACTTCAAAAATTGTTGTACGTAGACAGTATCGTTGATGTAAACAAAGTCTAACATTCACACCAACTAAATAAAATACCTTATATATGAATTTCTCAGTAAGTTCTTGTTACATTCGTTTTTTGTCTTTGATATGAATTTTGGGAATGAATATCCTTTATATTTTTGAAATTTACAATCAATTCTATATATTTAGTATTGCTAATACTCAGTAGATTATATTATTTTTATATACATTTATTGCAACTGTTTTCCGTGACCTTCACTCCATAGTGCATGTCAAATAATGTTAATCCGATCTAATATAAGCAGCATGAATCAAACATTCTCATCAAACAAACAAATCAAACAAATGCATAAATTTGCAATGCTTGCAACAATATGTTAAGAATGTTATTCGCAAGAAATAAAATCCAGCATTTAAAATAACAAAAAAATCAGCCTAATCTTAAGTTATACTTTTGTACATTGATATTCAACACAGGGCTAGCTGTTACCTTATTATGATCATCAGTGATATTTCACACCAAACATCACGACTGTGAAAAATAAACAAACTTGTTCAGGTCATATTTTCACAAAAAATAAACAGATACCCCATATGAGTACGAAAATAAAAGAAAGGAATTCCTGTTGAAAACGGTGATGTATCGAAATGTGAATGGTAGCCAGAAAACGGGTGTGTTTATGTAGTGTTGTTTAAATGATGCGCACCAAAGCACGTCCCGTCTTTCAAACCTTTCAGCCAGCTTGAATTATTTGGGCATATATTGCTCAGGACAAACACGTGATCACTGATCGTGTCCGCCCACGAACAAGAAAATTTAATAATTCATCACAACTTTCTAGAGCAAACTCAGGTGGTGGTGTAAAAATGCCTCGTTAGTTGTGCGAAGGCGTCCCTCCTTGATATACCGGATTGTAATTCATGGTGACTTGTTCTTTAAACATTCGATGCTATTCTAGCGGTTCGGCGCAGTGCGATTGCAAAGTTCCACATTTATTCAATCAATATGTAGCTATATGGGGATGAGTATTTAATTATAGCTTTGTAAATCCCATGCAATTCAGATACGTCCCAACGGATTTCATGTAATCCACGGACTTCATAATATAATAGAGTCTAGGGGTATTGTGACGAGTGTAGAATAGCTTAGAAGATATGGCACACTTAATGTCAGAGTTTCATCCCACTAAATTTCAATAATGTGATGGTTATCTAAAATCATATTCCGTTGTTTTTTTATTGTTAGGATGAGAAACATCAGAAACTGACAAGTAATACGTGGATAACACTAGTAAGTATATTATATATGTATCTTGATAGCAGCTGAATACACATCCCGGTGGGAGAATAGCGTTGAGCTCTTGTTTTGACAGCAATGCTTTCACTCTACTCTGTGTTATCCATAACAAACAACTATACACCCTAGCGCCTTGGCTTGTGGTGGCGTATTTGCGTTGTTTTGATAGCACGCATCTCATTAGCATTAACATGTGGACTACAGATCGTGATATTTGTCGATCGTTGATTTTAGTGAAAGATA